CACCCTGCCCCCTAGAGGCTGGCACTGCCTTGGAGGAGATGCACATTTCAGATGGCCAATGGCAATGGCCTGAGCGTGGAGCCCACCCTGCCCCCCAACTCTGTCTGGCCAGGTCTAAGGGTGCAGTGTGCAGCCACAGAATAATACAAACTGGCTTTAAAAAGTTGAAGACTTTCTCATCCCTGGGGAAGTCCCATCACAAGAGGTGTTATGGTGACACAGGGAAGAAACAGGGGCACACTCATGCAGGGAGAGAGTCCAGATCAAGGAAGGGTTCTGGGGCTGAAAAAGTTTTGGAAATACACTCCCCACCCCAGGGCAGTCTTTGGGGCCACCCTTTAGTCACTACACCTGTTGATCCCTCTGGGGACCGGGGCAGCCACAGACGCAGCTCCCACCCTCGGAGGTCAGCGAGAGAAGCCCCGCGCGAAGCCTTCCACACCAGCAGACCCCACTGCTTAAACTGCGTTGATAATTAGATTTCAAGCCCCAAACAGGATTAACTGTGAAACGAGGCTTCATTCCAATGTTGTGTCCATGCCGAGAGGTGCCTGGCCAGGCCGTCAGAACCCACAGGGTCACGTCTTTGCATTTGACTCATCTGACCAGAAGAAGGACAGGAGGTGTAGGCTGGTCAGGTGCTCCAAGAAGTGGGGTCTCAGGGTGCTCAGGGGTGTTTCTTGCCTTTTTCAGACGTGTCTCTCTGACACTGTGAAGGCTCGCCAGAAACAAACACAGTCCCCACCCTCCAGGCATCTCAGGGCCACTCGGAAGGGCTCAGGGTCACAGATGAAGGGAAAGCAGCACAAAGGAGCAGAGAGCCAGCACGATAGCATCACCCAGACCCCACGCCACAGGGGTCTTCCCTGCGCACCACGCAGTCCACACAGAGACAAGACAAAGCCCCCAGTGGCCAGCACCTGCGCTCCGGGCCTCGGACACCAAAGAGGTGGCGTTGTGATCAGCCACGAAGCGCGTGCATTCACTATAATTCGTTCTCCTGGGAGACTGAGCGCTTCTGTGACCTCCATTCACCTCTGCTGGGAGAAGAGGGTAAAGACCCGTTCCACAAAAAGCAGCCTGTCTGAAGGCACAAGCTGTTCACCGTGAGGGCCATGAGAGTTCGAGAAAGTTCGAGAAGCCTCACTGACTAAGAATGTCACACCCCAGGAAAAAATCAACTGTCCTGACCGCCATCTGGGGAGAAACACGGAAAGTTCACACGTGCACTTTTTGAACTTGGAACAGGTTATGTACAATGTTATTCAGCCTCTAAGATATGGCTGACTCTTCAGGAAGCATCTGCTAAATGAACCCAGTGAACACAAAGGATTAACAACCCTTCTTTTCTGCTCTGTGGACAGTAAAGGAAACCCCGAGGGGAGTAATAGGTCAGCAGGTAGGCAACAGAAAGGAAGACGTGGAGAGATGAGATGCAAAAGGGAGAGGGAGGCAAGATGGACGTGGACAGAGCCACAGCCTTCACACCAGCACCGCGGGCCCCAATTCCCCAGCCCTGTCAGCCACTTGGTCTGCAGTTCCCCTCTGTTAGGGGGTAAATTCCAGCAGCACCATGTTGAAGCCCTAACATCCGGGACCTCAGAATGCGACTGTGCTTGAAGACAGGATCTTTAAAGATGTAATTAAGGTAAAATGAGGTCTTCACAGGGGTCCTGATCCCATATATGACTGGCGTCCTTATAAGAAGAGGACACAGAAACACATCATGTGAGCACACAGGGAGAAGACGGCCATCCACACACCCAGGATAGAGAACTCAGAAGAAACCAGCCCTGCCCACACCTGGAGTTTGGACTTCCGGCCTCCAGGATTGTGAGCCAGAATGTGGTATTTGTTACGGCGGCCGAGCTGACTGATACACTCTCCAGTAGGAGCAAAGGCTCCCCCCCAGGCGCCTTTGCTGGAAGACTATTCCAGCCTCAGTTCTCTAACTACCATCTCAGACCCACGAATAGCAACATAAGAATCCAGCCCCCGGCCGGCTGGGATGAGAGAGAAGGTCCATCCCCAGAGCGGCCACCTCAGGAAGCAGTGAGGCAGGAGGGGCCAGCACCTGCCCTAGACCTTCATGATGTATGTGCTCCCAGTTGCAGTGCTAAAAGTAGGAAGACCCCCAAACACAGGTGGAAAACAGTCTGAGTATGGCCCTCTACCCTGGTTCTGTTCTGGCCCAGCTCTAAAGCTACCAGCTGCCAACTCTTGAGGGCTCATCATCTCAGAATAACCTGGGAGCAGACCACCACCCACTTTACGGAAAGCAAGGGGGCTGGAGTGAGTGAGCAGCACGGCAGGCGGCAAAGAGGGGGGTCTGCAGGGCCCGGACCCACCCTCTCGAGATCTCCCACCCACACCCACCTCAGCTCAAAGATGGGAAAGGGGGGAAGCCACAGAGCAGGTGGAGGCTCCCTGCAGAAACCCTGAAAGTAAGCACCTGGTGAGATGCCTCTGCCTGCATTTACTGATGCAATAAGATGCGTTTACCGATCTCCCCTTAATCAACAGTGAACAGACCTGTCCCCTGCAAAGAAACCAAACAGAGCTTACCTGTCGGGGCTTTTCTGGGGCTCTGGGTGTCTGGTGGCCGCCTGGCTGGACCGAGAGGACCCAAGTGAGAAGCGGCAGCCGGTCACCGTCACGGTCACGGGGTTGTCGCTCCCCGCAGCCCCCTCCTCGGGCTCAGCATGGTGCCCAACTCCAAAGCTGAAAGGCAAAGAGGCCGTCACTGAATGCGCTGAAGTTGCACAAATGTGAACTGTATGCCCTGTGCCCAGGAATACAAGTTCTTAAAAAGGCCTCCAGAAGCTGTTTTTCTGAAGAAGACCGTCTAAAAGACAGACTCTTTTTGAAAGAAGTCCACAAGAGGCAGGTTTCTAGATGCCCCGTCAACTGACTGCAGGGACAAACGCCCACAGATGCCAGGAGAGCCACGCGAAGCCACTGGTCCCAGGTCACTGCCCTCGAGCTTCCCCTCCCCCCCCCCCCCCCCACCCCCCAAAGCATGCGGGTAAGGAACGGGCAGGCCTCCACCCACTTGCAAGGCCAAGTTTACCTGTCAGGCATGCTTGGGGCCCAGATCACAGCCCACGTCCTTCCCAGGTCCTCCCAGGCTGCAGCCCTCACACCACCCCACAGGGACCGTCCTCATCTCAGACCAGATTCCGGCCCACGGTTCTGGAAGGCTCTGCACGTGGCCCCTGCATGTTCCAAGGGAGGGAGTTTGAATCCTGTCTATTTCCTTGGATCCAAGGATCCAACTGCTATTTCTGGGGGCCGAGGCAGTGTTCTAGGGGTGGAGGAGACGGTGGGGACCAAGATGAAAGCTCGCCCTGCTGCAGGGGAGTGTCTGCTCACCTAGGCACCGCCACAGGGCAGAGGGGAGACAGCCCACCACCCGGAGGATTTTAGCGCACGGCCCTGGAACACCGCTGAGCCTCCCCAAGTCCAAATGAAACACGCTCACTCGAGGACTTAGCAGGGAAATCAGCACAGAGCAAATGCTCCGTGGACGGGAGTCCTAAGCACCGCTGTGCCCGTTTATCTGAGATGGTCACTGCTTGTGACATGGTGTCCTTGGGTAGAGAACACATCACTCAGGGAAGTTAAACTAACTTACCCTGATCATTCAACAAGTGGAAGCAAAACCTGCCCTGCCTCCGACCTGACATGGAAGACGTCACGGGTCCAGAAAGTAGAAAACCACTGCAGAAGGTCCTGCTGGGCACACCGGCTAAGAATCAGGCGTGGGAGCCAGAGAGCCTGGGCCGCCTCCTGACCTCACCCCGTCTCAGCAGGTGACCTGTGGGTGGATCACCAACTCCCTAAGCCTCAGGGTCCCCCGCTACAAAATCCACACCAAGATAGTATCTCCCTCCAGGGCTTTTATGAGGATGAGGGCATGCATGTAAAGACTTAGGATCCAACACACGGTAAATGTGAGACAAATGCTAGTTACTGTGACTAGGACATGTCACACAAGGCTCCCACTGTCAGGTGCTGAACACGTCAGCTACCTGCAAGCTGTAAAGGCTGCTGATGTTTAGAGGTGATGCTGACCTTTCAGGGTCAAAAGGGGAGACACCTGACACAAGATTATCTGACTGCGTACAAGCAAAGGCATTGAAGGAAAGGTCCTCCAAGAATCTGTCAGTCTGGAAAGTGTTATAATGTTTATGTCGAGTGGAACATCTCTAAATTCGAGTAGCTAAGTTGACCACAAGTTTTTACAAAAAAAAAAAAAAAAAAAAAAGGCACATGGTCACAGAGGCGTGAGGGTCTTTGAATGACAACGAGCTGGTGTGTCCGGCAAGGTTACCAGGTCACATAACGACAGTGTATCATATACGCCTGTCATCACCTCTAACCATCTCATTCTGAGAGGTCTCCCTCGTCTCCAGAGAACTAGCCTTTGTCTGTAGGCCCATCCAAATACCCCAGGACCACCTCCAAATGCATATTTCAGGCCTACGCCTTCCAACTGACAACATACGTTTCGGAGATTTACTTTTTATAATGGGCAACATAAGTTAATCCACAATTAAAGAAAAATGACATATAGTCGCCTGTCAAGCTGCTCACCACTTCAACCAGTTTTGTCTATTTTTAAGAAAGTGGATGTTGCACTTTACAGCAGACAAAAACAAGACAACATGATTCTTGAACCTGATGAACTGAAAAGAGTTACTAAGATATAGCACCTCATCAGGAACAAACCTGTAGGGGCTGTTTCCACGGCCCCATCCGGCACCCACAGCTGGGACCTCCACCTCCCACACCCCCCGCCAAGCACAGCCCCAAAGGCGTCCTGCGGGGACCTGACCGGCTGCACCCACGCCCACAGAAGTGATGGAATTCTCTGGGCGCTGATCGCTGATCTGGCAAAACAGCGCTTCTCACGCAGTTTCACAGGCAGACATGACATAAACTTGAAATCTTAAAGAATATAGGAACTTGGGCAAAAAAATATCTTAACTTACTTTGAAAATATTTCAGGAACAAAGGACCTCTTGATGTCTGCTGAGTGGCTCTGGTATCTTCCAGAAATTCCTGAGTTAATATAAAGTTTTCCTTCTGTCTAGCTTTCTCACACTAAATATTTAGAGTCATAACAGTGACTCTTTAGACACTCAACAAATCCCAAGTTTCATGATGAGGCTATTCGGCCTGTTTGGAATGAAGTCTGGGGCCTCTCAAAAGGGGACAGGATACCTTTCATCAAAAAACTTAATTTCAGTATTTTACTGATCTCACAGGCCACTCTGTTTTCACAGAGTAAGAAGGCGCTTATGAAGACAAACTGAGAAATACATGAATGAAAGGGAATCGAAGAAAAGGCAAAGTTTTTAAAGTAATTATAAAGTTTCAGAATGCTGTTGCCAGACCCTGTGGTCAGCTTAAAGGAGAATCACAGTTAAAGCTGAGCATCTGCACTGTTGCTCAGTGCTGTCAGGTGCACCTAGACGGGACCTGTATCCCAGCGATGCCACAGCTGCTTCCCGGGCAGAGATGACAGAACGTTGAGGATGAAGGATGCTGGCAACACAGGGAAGTTAAAACAGAGGGACGTTCCCACCCAAATGCCGACATCATGCTTTCAAACCACAGACACACAGCAAAGGTCTGGCAACAACTCAGCAGTGACACCCTGGCCCCAGCCAGGAAGGCATCTCCCGCAGTAGCCTGTCCACCAGCAGACCCTCGGGGCTCCAGAGGATGGAGAGCGTGGCCCAGGACGGAGCACTCAGGTCTCAGAAAGAGCTTCCCAACTGGACGCCACCACGAAAACCGACAAAACTTATCCAAAACATATGAATGGGCCCAGACCCCACCCGGTGCTCAAGTCCAGGGTCAAGCAGAAGCAAGGGGCCTACGAGTCCTCACCATGGGGCTTCCAGGGGACGCCAAGCAAGCCCAAAGATGGGTTATCCAGAGGAAGCCTGTCCGAGGCCACACAGCACGGAAATGCAGCTGGATGAAGGGACTGCCTCCCTGGAAAAGGCAGGACACTTCTTCCCAAAACTAGCCCAGAGTCGCAGGGCAGTGAGGGGCAGGACACACACAGACACACAGACACACACACAGACACACACACACACACACACACACGGCAACTGACCAGATGACAGACGGAAAATACCCACTCTCCATAGCTGACATGTATACATGCATGCATTAGTTTGGTCATTCGAACAGCCCTATAACATAAACTAAAGAATATCACCACCCCTCCGTGAGAGAAAAGGCCTGGGTGAATGGAAACATACTAAGTTCCTAAATGGGAAGATAAAAAGCATCACAAAGATTTTGATTCTCTTCCAAGTAATTAATTTTAAAAATTAAAATTAATTTTGTCAATGAAAGGCAGTATCCATCTGAAGTCATGAAAACTGACAAAATAAAATAAATGGTAAGACTGCCCATTACAGAGCATTAAGGGAGAATTACTCCCATCCCAGAGAAAGACACTCTAAAGCACAAGTAATTAAAACAGTGCAGTGTTGGCATAGAAATCCGTGCTAGCATCCATCACAAAGGGCTGGGCTTATGAATATGAGTGTTACAATTTCATTATAGCAGCACATGCTATCCTAACCAGAGACTGAGTCCGAATCACCAAGCTTCCACTACTGGCACACACAGGACCCGTGGCACTGGAATCCCTGGGCTCCCCCTGTTCCCTGACTCCTCTGACGAGGTCACCGAAGATGAAGGTTAACACCGTGATGACTGCAGAGATGGCCACGACCCTTGACCTACCACCTCATACACATCAGATACCTCACCAAATGCTCTACGACCTCCCATGTCAGAGGTTCCCAAAGATTAGGAGTAAATACATGCAGGACACATAATGAGACACACATAAATGAGTGGCTCTTAACTAAGAGTAACTAAATATTGTCAATTCTTTAAGGTGGAATTATGACCCCATTTGACGGATGGAGAAACCAAGCCTAGGAGACAACGCAGTACCCACCTAGGTCACACGGAAGAGCCGAGATTTATATCCACAGATGTTTGAATCCACCCCACCTGCTTTATCTTGTGGATAAAATATCATTTGTGTGATAAGAAAAGAGAATAGACACCTTTTGCACTTATTTGTAAGGCTGCTCTTCATTTTTGTGTCTTTCAATTCCATTGTTTGCAGCACAGTTGGTTTTTTTTTTTCTTTTAGAGAAAAAAACAGCCAAAAGGAAGAGCCTGAAATTCAAAGCATAGAGGATAACTGGAGGGGGTGGGCGTAGGGTGTGGAGGGGATGCCCTGCTTGCAGGTAACTGAGATTTCAGTGATGAGGCATAAAATAAGAAGCCCTTTTAACCTGATAACAGGCACCTCCTGCGGGCAGGTGGCCAACACGAGGAAGAGGCACCAACACCCTCCCCATTAAATTAGGGCAGGAAGCCCACGGTTACAGTATTAGCCACAACTCTTTTGAGGTTCTAGACAATACAGTGAGATAAGGAACAGAAATGTGGTGTAAACGTTGACTGGAAAAGGATAATAAGCCTGGCATTATTTACAGACAAAATGTTGGACAATTGGCTGGAAAATGTTAGCGCTCACATGAGCATCTAATAAGGTGGCGATCCCAGAGCCCACACACCCACGGCTCTTCTGGATGAGGCTCCAAGACGATGAGAACTTCTAATGGGAGAATAGTGTTATCCACAGACGCAACAGAAGTCACCTACTTAAGAAATATGTGTCATCCGGAGAAAGTCACGGTCCGAAAGGATACATGCACCCCAATGCTCACTGCAGTGCTCTTTACAATAGCCAAGACATGGAAGCAACCTAAATGTCCATCAACAGAGAAATGGATAAAGAAGATGTAGTATACATATATACACAGTGCAATATTAGTCATAAAAAATAATGAAATAATGCCATTTGCAGCCATATGGATGGACCCAGAGATTAACCTACTAAGTGAAGTAAGTCAGGCAGAGAAAGACAAATATCATATGGTATCACTTCCATGCAGAATCTTAAAAAAAATGATACAAATGAACTTACAAAACAGAAACAGAGAACGAACTCATGGTTATGGGGTCGGGGGTGGGGGAAGGATGGGGGGGGATATACTGGGAGTTTAGGACTGACGTGTGCACGCTGCTGTATTTTAAATGGATAACCAACAAAGCCCGGGGAACACAGGGAACACTGCTCAATACTCTGTAATGACCTATATGGGAAAATAATTTAAAAAAGAGTGGATATATGTATATGTATAACTGAGTCACTTTGCTGTACACCTGAAACTAACACAACATTATTAATCAACTAGACTCCAATATAAAATAAAAAGTTTAAAACAAAAAGAAAAGAAAAAATACACACCAGACCCTTGGAAGAAAGCAAAAGGTTGAGTGAGGAACCTGAGAGACACCTGCAGGAGGACACGAAGGTAGAGATGCACCACTTTCTGGGGAGGGAAGCCCACTCCCCCGCCAGTGAACAGCACACCAGGACCGCCCCCCCCAACCTAATGAACACCCCAGTTGGCCGGGGGCCCCGCCCACTGACCCACAGGCAGCAGCAGACACAGGTCCAGAGCCCAGGAAGGAGTCTGGATGAGGCGAATGACGACATAAGATTGAGATCTAGCACCATTCACGCCCAACAAGCCCCAAAGGAGTCCTCATTTGCCACCAATCCTGATGGATCAATGGCAAGGAGGATAAAACCGCCTAAGACGAAATCTGGAAGAATGCTACAAAATCTGGGTGAGGAAGAGCTTTTTTTTTTTTTTTGCGGTACGCGGGCCTCTCACTGTTGTGGCCTCTCCCGTTGTGGAGCACAGGCTCTGGACCTGCAGGCTCAGCGGCCATGGCTCACGGGTGCAGCCGCTCCGTGGCATGTGGGATCTTCCCGGACCGGGTCACGAACCCGTGTCCCCTGCATCGGCAGGCGGACTCTCAACCACTGCACCACCAGGGAAGCCCGAGGAAGAGCTTTTAAGCCAGATTCTTCACCGGGAGGCCAGGAAGGAGAAATCAGCTCCTTTACAGCAGAAGACCCTCTGTGCAAAGTCCAAAGACGCGCACAAAGCCTCAGGAGAAACTACCATCAACGCAGGCAGCAACCAGCACTCAGTAAATCTCTCGTTTATTAAAATAACACAGGATGAGCAGCCCAACGTAAGAGCAGGGAGAGGACAGAAACAAACAAATCGCCAAATACACGCGTGAAACGCACTCAGTTTCACAAGTAACCATGGAAACGTAAATTATAATAGCAACAAATGAGCGACAAATTTTGATGCATCTGATTGCTGAAAAATTTAAAAACTGGGATGATCCCCGAGAGCTGGGGATGGCCTGGGAGCAGGGAGGCTCTCCTGAGTCGTAGGTGGGGCTCCCTGAACAGGCTCTGGGGGGACAACTGGGCAGCATCCCCTAAGCTTCAGTCTTAGGAGCGGGAATCCCACTTCTCATAACTGATCCTCACCCGCACGTGTGCGACGGGAGAGCTGGAAACAACCCAGACACACCTGCTCGATACCACCCGCTGCAGCTCCCAGCATCGGCTCCCACCAGGCACGCACGCAGAACCCGGGGTGCCTCCGGCCTTCCTGCCTCTCACACCTCCCACCCGTGCAGCCCACCAGGCCACTTAATTTTGTCAGAAGCATCTGAAATCCACCCACTGCCTTCCTACACCAGGCCACCACTCCCACCTCACCTGGACCCGGCTCCCAACACCCGCTGCATCTTCACCCCCTCTCAAGCCAGCAGTGGGCTTCAGACACACCCCACCACCCACCAACAGCCACCAGCCCAGACCCGGGGGCCCTGCGTCCCCTTCAGGCTCCCAGGGAGTGCTGACCCAAGATCCACTCTGCCCACCGGCCTCCCCCAAGTCCTGCCGTTTCCCTCCTTGTGGCCCTTGCAGGTTCTGTGTCCTCTCTCAGGGATGACCCCACCTTTCTTCCTCCTCCCCTTGAAACTGAGTCCCAATAAAACCAAATTCCCCTGCCCAGTTTTCGATTAACCTCTCTATCCAAAACGTTATTCCTTTTCTTGTTGTGCACCTGTTCCCCTCAAGATTGAAGACTTAACAAAGAAAAGGGGGAACTGAAACCGAGCAGGACCCTTCGGGGACCTCCCGGGTACAAAAGCCCCTCTATGTCCCCGTTCCTTGTTTGTAGAAAAAGGCTTTAGTCTCCTAGGGCTTCCCTGAGTTCCAAAGAGCAGACTCAAGCAGTTACTAATTAGGGAAGGGAGGAGATACAGAAACAAAGGAAAAGCAGTCCAGCGAGAAAAGTAATGACAATAGTTTATCAATAAAACAGAGTCCTAGCTCCTTCTCAAGAGATAAACGTAACAATCTGACGCATATCTTTGAGTTGCTCTGCAGAAACTAAGACCCTCCCTCACACCCCAGGTGGAGGATGGTGACTACATGCTGAGCAAAAGCGTAGACCCCAGACTGGCTGGAACCAGAAGGCTGGTGCTGAAGATTCCTGTCACCTCACCACCAGCGAATCAGAAGCTGCAACCCTCACCCCAAATGTTGCCCTTGAAAACCCCTTCCCTGAAAGCCATCCGGGAGTTGGGGGTCTTTTGAGTGCGAGCTGCCCATTCTCCTTACTTGGCGCCTGCAATATAAAGGCTGTCCTTTCCTTCACCACAACCCACTGTCTGTTGATGGGTTTTGCTGCACTCAGGCGAGCGGGCCTGTGTTCAGTTTGGTAACACCCTCCCCACATCCTCTCCACCCTGTCCCGGCCCTGGGCCCCCGCTGGTCCTGCAAACACATCTAGAGGTGCTGGGGCTGCTTTCTTGCTACTGACACTGTGTCTGTGTCCCCACCAAGGAGCCACTCTGCAGCCGGGGACCACATCTGTCCTGGACACTGTAACATCCTCAGCTCTCAACAAAGGCCAAGGGTTCAAAGCTTTGTTGAGCACATGAAAACACATCCCAGTGGGAGCCTGGTGACAGTCTTCCAGGGCAGGGATTCTCTGGGCTGGTAGGCGAAC